GAGCCGTGATTCCATTGAAAACATAAAATTTCAAGCAAACTCTTGTTAAAATTTTTAAATGGTGAAAATATTCAGACATGTGAACATCAAGTTTGCATGGGCATAAGGAAAGATTAACAGTCTAAGACATTTTTTTGTCAGTCGTCATTTTGATCATATGGTACAATTAGATACATTGATTCATTTAAGGGATTGTCAAAATATTAACTTTTGAATGATATCTTTGAATACATTACCTAATCTTTATATGACACCTTAAATATTTTACATGAACGACGTAATATGTAGGTATGTTTTGCACGTACGTTATTGATAACCATTCTATGTATCTGCATTTACTAAAATTTATATAATATATTCCCCCCCTTCAACAGAAATGCAACAGTACATGAACAGTCCAGCCATGAATATGTATAAAAAGCGTGAACGCACTCAGAATTGGAATCACCAAGAGAAGAAATTTCTACTGGACTTGTGTCGTAAGGATATGCGCATTATTGAAAATAAAAGACTCGATGCGGGACTGACGGCGGTAAAGAATAAAGCCTGGAAGATTATACATCAGAAATTCTCAAGTCAATTCGGAACAGATCGAACGTGTAATCGTTTAAAGGAGCAATGGCGACGCATGAAAGGTGAGTTGGAGGAATAAATTAAATTTCGTGATGTTGATCAGCATTAATGTGCTCTTTGTTCTACTGCTGGTTTGGCCTAAGGAGAAAGTATGGCAACTGAAAATATAGAAAAGACTGAAGAGCTTTAAAAGTTTTAGCATTATTCAAATAATAAACTATTTGTAAAAACTGCAGTGGATTTACAGAAATATAAAAATTTTATATTTCTATTTCGGACTTACTACTTTGTGTAATCCGTCTGACTTATTGAAATACATCGTATTAGCATTTGCATTATCTTGACTCTATTCTATTTTATGTGATTCGATTAACGTTTCTGGCGGCATTTTAATTTGAATATTTTTTTCTGGCTTGCAGCCTGTACGCGTAACGAAATATTGGACTACAATAATCGCTTGGCCAGATTTGGTGCTGAGGTTGCCGATCGCAAAAAGCCATCACCGTTCACATTCGAAGTGTGGGAATTCATGCAAGAAGCTAAGAAAGCTTGCAAATCTGAAGCTTTAGATGGAATTGACTACTCCAAGATACCGTTGGCGCTCGAAGAGGACTATGAGTATCGCGAGGACGAACAGAATGGCGAGGATGATCACGATATGGATGAGTAAGTAGAAAATTGAATACACTTTATGTTGAAGAAAATATAGAAAAATATGAATTCTCGATATAAGTTCTAATTCTTTATTTCACTTCGCAAACAAACTACTCTTTATTTCTTTGTTTACAGCAGTCGCACACCACCACAGGAGCTCTGCGATGTCGATATCAAGGAGGAGACCAATGAGACCTTCAACGACACAAACACACATAATGATTCAATGGCGCACGGTGAGCGTTTATCGTCTTCCTCGCCGAACCTCAGCCGCTTGGGTGCACACCACGACCTCGAACGCGTTAGCCTACATAGTCCAGCCGGCAATATGGCGACGGCCAGCGAACTCGCCAACTCCAGCTATCTGTCACAGAATGGCGTTAGCGGTGGCACCGCGGTCGTTGGCAGTGCCGGCGATATGGGCGCCTTTCAGCCCGCCTTCAACATGAGCAACATCTCCGCTACATTGGAAGCCTTGAATGCGTTGCGTACCGGACAATTCCCCTCAGCCGCTGCTGCTGCTGCCGCTGCCTTACAGAATAACTTCGCCGCCGCTGCTGTGCAACAACAGCACCAACAACATAATCAGCAACAGCAACAACAACAAATGTCGCCTGGTGATGATCAGCCATTGGTGAAGCGTCCACGCAGCTCGAGTGGTAGCGCTAACGGTGAAGAGGTCTTACATGATTTATCCATGAATGGCGCTGCCGCCGCTGCCAATACCTCAACAGTTAACACAGCCAACGCGCCCATCGGCGCCAGCAATGGTGGTGGCATGAGCGCGTTGGGCGCATCCGCTAGCAGCACGCCAGAGATGCGTGCTTTCATGGAGATGCAGAGCAAAGAACACCTGATGCGTATGAAGATACTCGAAGTACAGTTGCAGGCGGCCAAATATAATCGCGATCTGGTCGAAATCAATAAGACATTGGCGCTGCAGAAGTTGCAGGAGTTGGCCAGCAAGCGCTTGACCAGCTAAGCTAGGCACGTGTGAAGAATGGAAGGTGGGAATTGTTGGGTAACAAAGTATTTAACGGTAGTTTTTATAAGAAATGTTTGCGTGGAAAGGCAGCTGTATTTTGCGTACGTGTGGATAAGCTGGCGGCAGTTCGGTAAAGCGCTAACGCACAATTGCGTAATAACGACAGTTTACTTTTTTGTTTATTGAATCAGTTAAAAAATAAAATAATTATAGTAGTTCGTAATACGTTTATGTATTTTTTTTTAATGGAAATAACATTCCCGTTAAAACCTAATTTACTGTTACATCCTAGAAATAGTTGCTCTTTCGATTGTTACTGTGTTGCGTGTCACAAATTTTGTAGAAAAACAATGAAATATATCATAACAGAAATTATTAAAATAAAAATGTGAAAACTGAGTTATTTTCTTTTTTGTATTTTCTGCCATAACAGTATTTGAAAATAACAGTAGAACACAGTAAATAAAAGTATTACACGAAGCACAAATGAGGAATCATTTGAATTCACAAGCAATAGTTAGTTAACGAAATAGCCCTACCTCAGTGGTCTAAACCAAGCTACAACAAAAACAAAACGAAAACAAAACGTTTGAAAACAATTAACAATAAGCTACGATCGTCCAAAATCATTAAAAAACGAAGTAACAGTTTTATTTCTAACAACAAAAATGCAATACAAACTGTTATTGTTGCATACTTTTGCGCGCGCAGTTATATACTTACTTCTTTCACAGCTTTTATAGTATACCTAGCGCTGTTACACTCTATTATATGCTGCACAAATTTATTTTATTTTTATATTTTACTTTTATGTAGTTGTAAAAGAGTTGGCTTCGAAGCACAGAAATACATGCAGACACTTACAGTAGCTGCGCTTAAAAAGCTCTTGGTTTTCAAAAGCTACTTACGGCGCGTTAAAGCCGTGGCTTGTAAATTATGACAAAAGCACGAAGAAGTTCCAAAATAAAAAACATAATGTTAAAAATGTTAAATATAAAATTTTTTGTTTAAAAAATTATGTATTTGCGCTAAAGCTAATGGACACTTTTTATTTAGTCACAATTTAGAGCTGATATTGCAGAGAAATATAAAAAATTCTCAACTAATTAGCACAAATTTAATGTTAAAACCGTTATAATATTTTTGAAAAAGGAATTTTTAATTAATTTAACACAATCTGAAAGCTCTAAAAGGTGCCAAATAAAAATTTCTATAATATTTAAGAAAGTTTGTAAGCTCCAAAAAGCTTTTCCTGCTATTAAAGTATTAAGAAGTTTTACGAAATGCAACAGTGTGTTATAACAGCACAACATTAATGAAATTAAGAGTTTGAAAATATTTGTATATAGATAAAAAAAAAAAAAAATATTTTTGTACCTATAAAGATATATAATAAAAATTGTAGTTTAGAAAAACGCATTGGAAAATAATTATAAGTAACATTGAAAGGAAATGAATAATACTATTTAATAAGCACAAACAGTGAATGCAAAAAAAATGTTATATACAATTTGTTACAAGGCACTTATCAAGAGACTAAATATAAATAATAAAATAAAATTATACGAAAAATAAATAAAACGAAAAATTATAAATTAAAAATGTTTAAATAAAATAAAAAAATTTTAGAAGAAAATAAAATTATATAATAAAAAAAATTAAAATAGAAAATGATTATATTACAATAGATATAAAAAATATATATTAATAAAATAAAAACATTAAAGACGATAAAAATAAAAATTTTAAAAGAAAATAAATCCTGATAAAATTAAATTAAATGAATAAATTAAATAAATAAAAGTAAAAACAAAAAAAAAAATTATTTAAAAAAACTTACTTACTTAAAAAAATATATTAAATTAAATGATTATATTAAAAAATAAAATAAAGTAAAATAAAAAATAATAATTTACTTAAATAAAAAAGATACTAAAATAAATTAAATCTGATTAAATATTAAAAAACAAAATTAAAATAAATTAAAAATTATACAATTAAAACTATTAAATAAAATAAAAAGATTTAAAAAGAAAATGAAATAAAAAGTATAATCAAAAAATTAAAATAGTAGAAACTTATTAAATTAAATTTTGAAAAAAATATATATTTTAATTAAATAAAAACACTAAAGAAGATACAAATAAATAAAAATTTAAAAAGAAAATCAAAGATGATAAAATGAAATCAAATAAAAAAATTAAATAAATAAAACTACAAAAAAAAATTTTAAAATAAACTCAAAAAAATTAAATTAAATTATATGATACAATATTAAAAAATAAAATAAAATAAAAAGTAATATTTACAGAAATCAAAAAAGATACTAAAATTAATTAAAAGGAAAAAATGATCAAAAAACTAAAAAATAAATTTAACTTAACTAAAGATTCAAAAGAAATTAAAATAAAAAAATTATATAAAAGCAAAACATAAATTAAATTTAAAAAAAATTATTTTAATGAAATAAATAAATTAGAGAAGATACAAATAAAATAAAATTTAAAATTTAAGAAGTAAATAATATATATGAAAATAAAAAGTTAAGCAAATAACATTAAAAAAAGTATATAGATAAAAAAAAATTTAATGAAATAATACAATATTAAAAAATAAAATCAAATAGAAAATAATATGTTCGTAAAATAAAAACAGATAATAAAATAACTAAATAAAAATAAAAATAAAAAACAAAATAAAAAAATTAAAAATAAAGAAAACAGTAATATAATAAAAAAATAAAAATAACATTAACAAAAAAAATTAATAAGAAGAAAATAAAATAATATCAAATAAATAAAATAAAAAATGTTTATATATATAAAAAAATTGAAATTGATTATGACAAAATCAAATTAAAATAAAAAACTGAGTCAATACATACATTTTTTATACCTTATAATGATTAAAAAATTAGAACAAAACTTTATTTTTATTATATGCAAATATTATAATTCAAATATTAAGAAGCAATAAAAAGGCACAAACTATTGATTTGAGTATTGTGGACATTTTGCTTAAGTATTAAGTATTTAATTGCTTTTCTAACATTAAGATTTAATTAACTTAAAATAACAAACTTACTTATATTATATTAATAATTACAACACAAGCTTTTATTTTTAAGAAAAACATAATAATTGTGAGTGCGCCTGGCACTCAATTAAAATCTTTTTTTTTTGATATACCTATTAACTATTGTTTAACACCTGCTTTGGCTATTAGTTGTTTACTAATTCTTTTTCTTATTATTTGTTAATTGTAGAATTATAAATCTTTATTTGTTTAATTTTTGAAATTATTTTATTTATTTTAGTTAAATTAAGTTTGAGTTCTGTGAATAAAAATAATTAATATTTTTTATTAGATTTATTATTTTACTACTTGTAGTTTACAATTGAATTATTACAAATCTCGTTTTGCCATTGTAAAGGAATAAAAACAAAAATTGCTTGCATCGAAAAATATTTAAAAAAGAATTCTGTAAAAAAAGTTCAAGAAGTTATGTAAAGAAATTGAAATACTTAAAAAAGAATATCGTTTCATAGAGTGCAGTAGACTGTAAATAATAATGTACACATGCATAAAAATGAGAACTTGTTACAATAATAAATTTAATAATAGTTAAGAATTATAGTTAAAAAAAAAAGAAACGAAATATATATATATACATATACATAAATATATTTGTATAGTGTAATATTTAGTACTTATGTTCAACCACTTAACACATATTATATAACGTATGGCTAAGTATATAAATACTTTTGAACAAAACCTAGTTATACATGCGTACATACTATACACACAAACATATATCACAAATAAAATCAGATTTTATTAAATACAAGAAACAAATGAAAAGTTTTCATTTTAAAAAATACGCTTTTTTACTATTTTTATGTTTGGTAACGGAGCCACGAAATATGAAACACTGGATGAGGCATCGATAGTGAGGCCACAAAGTCTACTAAAGTTCGCGTCAAGCGCAAGCATCCTAAATGATGACTACTCCTCATGAACCTCGTTACACAACTTCATCTGGTATTGCAAAGGACCAAAACTGCGTGGCTTAGTTGCCTACCAGACTAACCTAACCTAACTTACTATATTGGTGCTGGTCAAAATATACCTCTTTTTGTATATATAATAACAAAAACGTTTGTTCTTCTTACAATTAGTCTTGGATCCGTAGACTGGTAAAGATTATCGCTTGCATCCTTTTGTGCTGCCTCATACAGACAATGACGAGGAACTCTTATGTCTACATGATGGAGTCTCAATTTCCCCGACTGTTTTCGAGACGTTTCTCTGAGTGGCTTATTTGTACAAGTATTATATATAGGATTTTTATCCGGCCAAGCACTGTCAACTAGGAAGCATTCTTCAAAATTATTTCAGAAATGTTTTGTAATGTTTCGCAGATTACTCGATAAGGATATGGAATGATACTATCGGTCAGACAATCATGCATATTCTAACATTACTTGGTTACTGTCAAAGATTTACCTGCCCGATATTTCCATATCTCAACTCTTTGCTTTGAAGATGACACATAGTTAAAGTCATCTAAGGTTAATTATACCATGTGTTTGACATACTTACTTTGAGTAAACTATTATTTGAGAAGTTCTTCACGTCTCCAGAATATTTGCCTACGCTAATATATTCTTCAGTATCATAGATAACATCACAGATAATATCATAGATAAGATATGGTTTTCCCTCGACTAGAGAAAGTTGGGAAACATGCCGTTAGGGGTTAAAGTTCGCAATGTCTTCCGAACTTGATGGAAAGCGTTTCCGAGTGTTTCTGGAAAAAGTGTACCCTGCACCGAATACGGAATACGGAAGACACTGGAATGCTTTAGCCCCAGAGACTTCTCCTATTTACCCCTCACGCTTTATTTTATTGAGTAGTATGTACATCAATATCCTGAGTGCCGTGGACTTACTTGGCCGTGAAGAAATTTTCAGCTGTATTCATGTTATTCGAACAGCTAAATGCCGTCAAATGAAAAAGTGTTGTTGAATAGAAAAAGAAGTACATTTTTAATCCCTATACAAAGACGGAACATTACCGCTTGATCGTTACAAGTACAACAACTTTTTCTACTTTTCACATAAAAATTTGGTGGCAAAAACTTTTGTTTTCAAATTTCGCGCCATTTTTTAAATTAACCGGTTTCACATTTTTAGTTACGACGATTTCAATTGCATCATTATTCTTTTTTCGTCTTTTCTCTTTTTATGGTTTTCGAAATTTGTACGGCTTTTTCAAGAGCCTGGATACTTTCATCAAGCGTACCCTCCACTTCCAGCATTTTTTTTACGCATTAAACGCAGCTTTTCTCTTTGCTAAGGAGAAATCAAATGGATTAAACGAAGGAGAGGTTATTCCAAAATAATATATGTGGGTTTACGGGGTTAAGTGTGTTCATACCTCTTTCAAGAAGTAAATGTTTTCTTCTGCTTTGCCTTTTTCTTCGAAGTTTGTAAACATTCTGAAAATTAAAGTATTCGTAAAAATATTGCAAAAAATTTCATATTTTTTTAAGTTCACCGAATCGTTTCCAACATGACAATTCTGCTTCTAACATTCCAAACTCGGCAGCATGGGAGCAGCATCATTTTTGGAACGAATTTAATTTTGCCTGAAAAATTTCCAAATCAATAAGATTTTATTTAAGAAGTTTACGAACAATTTTTTTCTTAAAAATTTTGGTGTTTGTTTACTAAAAGTTTTTCTCTCACAAAAAGTCAAAATACTTCAAATTTTGCCAAAGGGTTCCCAACGTACTAAGAAAGGCTTATGAGCTTAGCAATGGCTTTGTCTAAATGTATGCTGTTAGTATGGATTCTTTGGTACATGCGTATTCAATTAAACGTGTGACTGATCATTTGGCTAAGGAAACGGCGCTCACAGAAAGAAGTCGGGGGGTTTCTCGATCAAGATAATTATGGGCAGGTAATTTGATCAGACCACCACTAGCCACAACAATGTGAGGCGGACTATTACAAGTGCCCATAATTTTGTTGGGGGCTTTGTCGTGGGGCCCCGTGCGGAATGTCGAATTGTCTAACTGTTTCGCTAGCTCCATCCCCTTACGATCGTTTGACAGACAGGAATGACAAGATAACTGCACGTTAAAGTCACCAAGTACCAAACGGTTCTCACCAAGAAATGTTGTGATAACCTGTTGGGTAACATGTAAATGGGTGGGTGTACATATATATAATAATATCTCGACATCGCCTAACCCGATTTTGCTCTGGAGTCCGTTGCAGTTGAATTGTAGAAGTTTTATGTGACGCGGGAAAGTAGTTGTGACCCGAAAGTGTAGTAATGGTGTATAAGTGGAGGCTTTTGCGGCTGCAGAACCCACAGAATCGGTTGTCGCACAGTCGTGTTGTTCTGCGATGTCTTTGTAAGTACTTGCGTGGGCAGACTACTGCATTAAGGGGAAACGTAGGACACACTTCCATTCACGACAGAGCAGACTGTGCGAGGGGCCGGGATGATGAAGGTTGTGGATGGGACTAATAAGACTGGGAGACATGCTGCCTACTTGAGTTCTTTGAGACCGTTGCGATCAGTTGGTTGCCACTCGGCTAGAGTGGCGGAACAGTGCGAGAACTAGCCTTAAGGCCTCAGCAGGTCTATAGATGTCTCCATCCAGTGTGGAATTTCGATCAAGCGCATATGCAACAGAAAAGTTCCTCCGGCGCCGTATTAGGCTCAGTGAGGATCAGGCAGATATAGAGCAGCCTATGCAGGGATTTACTCCAGTGATGGCAATATTTATTTTTTACTTACCGTTCCAAACAGGGTTACATCCTCTAAATAACAGCTCTGGGCCGTATAAAATCCAAGTCCGTTCCGGTAACGTAGAACCGGGTGTTGTGGGAATTGTACGGATAATAATACATTTTGGTTACGAAGCCCCAAATGACTTGTGAACATTTTCCCGAGTGATATTTTCCTCCTTGACGGGATAAAATGTTGGTACCGATGATAGGGTCCGTTGACAGGACTCCGGTAGAACCTCTCCCATATAGTGTAGTGTATTATGGTGGTATAATAACAACAACCTATACATCATCGTAAGTATTCTTAAATAGTTATGCGCAAATGTTTGTTAATTAAGTGAAGAATGTGAAGAACTAAAAAAAAAAAATATAAAATAAAATAAAAAAATCAACGAAAACCACATATTTTATCAACTGAGCACGTATTTACTTTGAACTTGGGATTTCCAAGACCGAAATCCCCTTTTCTTATCAGCATTGATGTTATAGTCAAAAGCATGCATTTACACTTGTTTATAAGTATATATGTATGTGCTTCTGTATGCGGTAAATCCCAGCACACACATACCCCTGCAGCATAAAGATGCTTGGCTCAGTATAAAAGCGCGTGCAAATAGCAATCACCTAAAACAAAAGTATCTTAGCTTCGAAATAGAAGACACGCTCATAGAACCTTTAAAACACAACGCAATATATATACAAAATGAGATTTGTTGTGCTCTTTGGTTTACTGTTAATAATTGCCGGCATATTTAATGGCGCTAGAGCCTCACGAGACGCACGGTCAGTACGTTCAGGCATAAGACTACCACCAGTGAAGATGGACCGACCAATTATTTACGACGCACCCATCAGAATTGGCAAACCGAAAACTATGGTTGCTTAAAAATGTAGTTAACAACGTTTAAAAATATATAAATAAATAAACACTCCTGAGTTTCAAATTAAAAGGTTTAATATTTTTATTGCATTTGCTCAATTTTATTTATATTTCCATTGTGTAAATCGTTCAAAATGTTGAATACTGCAAAATGTTGAATAGCTTTGTAGACGTTGAAAACATAACAAAAATAAAGTATATAAAAAGTGCAAAATAATCGGATATTGTTTGTTTTTTTTTGGTCTTATACTAAAATTTCGAAAGCTCTTTTAAAAAATTTGCTGCGGCCGTTTAGTGATGTTATAGCTTCTGGCTTCTTGTGTTTACTTCTGAACGTTCTCGAGGAAGGTCTTATGGCGTTGGACAGCTTCTTCGTGTTCCTTGATCTGTTGAGCATGGAATTCAGCTTGGTGGATTTGATCGTTTTTCAAACGGTCGAGTTGTTCCTTTTGCTAAAATGGATAACATAAAACCATTAAACAATTTATTATGCTAAATATAGAATTAACACAAATGCAACAAGAAAAACAAAAGCAAAAAAAAATACTAAACTAAAATACTATAACACGATATACCCAAAACAAAAAATGTATATATATATATATATTTATATGTATGTCGCTAAAAAATATACACCGTAATTAATGTGTGTTTTCATATATAGTATACAATGTGCATATGTGATCTCCGACACATAAATTTAGATATGTCGTCAAGTCACAGTCAGCTGTGTTTTGGTAAAAGAAATAGACGAGCCTCTTCTTGGCCTAAATAAATCACATGCGTCACACAACAAATTAATGTATGTATATGTACCTTCTTGTAGAAGTATTCTTCTTCACGCGCCGCTTCCATTTTGCCGAAAGAACCACCAGCTTCGCGAATCGTGCCACCGCCGCCACCACCTTTGCCAGCACCGCTACCCAAATCGCCAATTTGGCTGTCGCTCATCTTGGCAAATCTGCAATAAACAAAGAAAGCATTTAAATTTTGCTTTTTGTATAAACAGTAAATATGTACATATATCTTAATAATAAACAGGTACAAAAGGCAAAAACAACATATCGTCACCTAGAACGCAATTTTCGAAATTTAGTTTTTTATTTACCAATTTATCACCAAAATTTTAATTTCAATACGAGTAGTTTTTATTTTATATAGTTTTTTCATTTTCCTCAAAACTTATAAAAGGTGATGTTAAATTATATTGAATTTTAGATGATGATATACTACTACATATAGGTTTATGCTGCCTTGTTAAAGAGCACTAAATTTGGTTTAGTGATTGGCTAATATTGCATAACGCAAGAGAATTTTTAAGAATTTCGCCGAAAGTAATACTTTTTGATCGCGAGAAAAGCAAACGAACCTTATCTTATCCTTCTTATCATATTTTCAACAAATTTATTTGTATTAAAACGCTGTGCTTTTGTAATACACGAAAATACTTAAATTACATATGCCGGCTGTAGTTTTTTAATGCCTCACTAAGGCAGGGAATACTTACTGCATTCCACTGGGGTAAAGGCGCGCTGCGCTACGACGTACTACGAACATTTTGTATAAAGTATTTTCTGTAAATAAAGAATAGAAAGTAATTAGAACAAATTGATAGCGGATTCAATATTTTAGATCTTTTCTACTATAAATAACTTAATGTTATAATTGCTAAACTACTTTTTACTAATAAAAATTACTCTTTATATATTATTTATTACTCAGCAAAATGGTTCACAATTCCTACCAGTTGTCACTTTTGCAATAAAAAAAACAATGTCAAACTCTTGGCCATCGGAGCTAAATGGAAACTGGGGGCTGGAATGCTGGATATTCCAGGCTTACTATTTTTGTTTCTCACACGACAGATGTCGCGGAGTGTATTAACAGCTGATAACGCTGTCTGTTGAATTTCTAATAATAATTTGTAAATTAATTTAAATATAACTAATATATTTAAAAATTTCAGTATTTATAATAATATTTTGAAGATACAAAAATGTTGTATTAAACACATTTTTTTATATGTAACACTTCAGGGCAATAAAGAATTGGCAACACTGCTAAATATATGAGAAGAAGAAGTAGCATTACGAGTTGTCAACTTTTCGCAGAAAGCCAAGTTTGGCTAATGCTTGTGGAAAATAGTAATTTTTTCCCCTTTTGTTAATATTTTATTAATTTTATTTTGTGTAAACCTATCAGGAACAAGTTGAATAAAATAAGTAAACAAGCACTTTAGTGTAAAATGGTGGAAACTGACGATGCAGCTGAGCTTCTTTTCTTCGACACTTTTTCGCACGAAGTGGACACGGTAAGCAAACGGTTCTTATAGTAGTTTAGCGTTTAATGAAATGCGTTTTCTTCAAACAACACCGAACTATATTTCAACATTCATTGCTTTAGGATATCAATCTCGATCTTGTGCAATTCCCAAAGCCAGTATATATTACACAAGTACGTATAATACCATTGGGAGCACGCGTACAAGCCGATTTCCCCGGTGGTGTGCGCCTTGGGGCCACAAATCCCTCCAAATTTGATATTGAGTTTTTCGTCAATGATTTGGGCATGCCGGGTGCCTCGACATTTGAAAATTTAGGACAATTGAAATATAATCAAAACGATTGCATTCACTTAGAATGCACCCATGAGAAAATACCTACAGATGGTTTAGTCTTACGTGGCTGGTATAGTACAATTACTTTGGCTGTATATGGTATATTAACAAATTCGATGAATGAACCAATTGCCAGTCCACCACCGCCACCTTGTGAACCAGCTGGTCCCGAAGAGATTTGCAATTTAAGTGGTAGCGGAGAAACACGTGAACCCAGCATACCCGAGGAGACCAGCAAAGATGAATGGAAAGAACCCCTACCAAGTGAAGTACCATCTGCACACAAGACGAATCTTAGTGATTTTGAGCGTGATGAATTAGAATATGGCGTTGGGCGTGGCGGCGAGCATTATCAACATTCGGGAGACGAACGTGAACGTGATATACGCAAGACTTCGCATTCCTCGGAACGTTCATTGCCGTCACGTAATCGCACGCACTCGGAGAGCAATGAAAGGGACTATGTGCGGTGAGTTGTGATTTGTTGCTAATTTACTTTTATAATTTATACATATATATATATATATATATTTGCTTTTCAGTTCACGTGGTGAACGCGAACGTGAAAAAGTATCGCGAGATTGGTCACGCAGCCCAGAATATTTACGCCATTCGCGACACAAACGTTCTGAGCGTTCACGCTCCGACGCCGAGGAGTCACACAAGTGGCCACCACGCACACCACCTGCATCGATTGATTCACCCACACGTCCACGTTCGCCTGACACCATGGAGTACTCAGAGGATGATGCACATTATAAACTTAAAACGCGTAGTTATATGCGTTCCGATGAATCACTGACAAATGGGGCAGCGGATACGCAACCTTTGGACGATGACGAAACACCCGGTACGCCCGGCGAACAATACGAGCCCATACTCAGCGATGATGAGATTATCGGTGATGACGATTCCAATAATGCGATTGAGCAAGTTATGGGCGATGATTTCGAAGCAGAACTGTTGGCTGCCGCTAATGCAGCTTTGCCAGCCATACAAGAATTTGATCCGTTCACAATGCCTATTACACGTTACGATAGTGATTTGCAAGCGCTATACCACAAGGAAGTAGACACACTATTCATTATAATGGAAAAGTTTGATGTGCAAACGAAATGCGTAAGTGTAGACGCTTTCAATGATCCGACTACCACAATAGAGGAGCGTGAGAATTTTGTCTATTTAAGCGAGCAGCTAATCAACCATTTGTCTTACATTTGGCAAAATTTCAAACGACGCAATTTTGTGTTAAAAAAGTTTTTCTCAAACGATGCAAAATATTTGCTAAAATCCTTTAATATATTAAAAATTGCTTTAGAATTCGAATCGGCTTGCCTGCAACAGCAACCGGCTTTCAAGATACGTCACATAAAAATAGGTGCACGCCTCACCGAGCTCTTTGCATCGGCTCCGCAGTTCTTGGAGTATCTGCTACAAACGCAAAACTTTGATCCATTCGCCGCGCTCTTCAAACTCTACCAAGAGAAATATATGGCGGTATCCATCAAGTTAATGTTGCTCAAAGCCATCTATGCTTTGCTAGGTACTAAGGAAGGCATACGCCACTTTTTGGTTGGTGGCAAACTCGGCGGCTATCAATTGCTCTTCTATACGCTGAAAGAATCGCGTCTCACGCGCACAAAAATCGCTTTGCAAGCGATCGTCAAGAAGTTGCACTTGTACGAGGCGCTCGAATGTGTACGTGAAAATTGCAGTAAACTCTTCGTGCTCACCAATTATACACCAGCTGCACCGGTAGAACAATATGTCGCCATCGAACATGCGATTGCACAAATTATGGACGCGTTGACGCAGAATTCATTGTCTTACCAACAACCGAAACGATTTCTACCCGCATCTAAGAAATTCGAAATCGCCATTGATACGGCGGCGCAGCGTAGTTTCGCCAACGATTTGCAGTCCTACTTCGTGCTACATACACTGGGCGAATCGCTGCTGCTATTGCTGGTCAATGCCAATGCGTTGCCACCAACGCTGCTGCTGCGCGTGTTGGATTTACTGCAAGCAATGTTGCAGACACATGTCGGTGTGGATTATTTTGTGGACGATTGCTTTGAAACTACGCGACTGTTAGTGGCGGTGTTGCTGGGTATTGATGATGTGCCCGAAGATGCGACGCCCACCGAGGAAGAGGACTTCAAAAGTAAGTGGTGCACATTAATTAATGCATTTTTTTTTTAATAATTTTTTTTTTTTTATTATAATTTTTTTTTATAATAATTTTTTTTTTTTTTACAATAATTTTTTTTTTTGAGAAAGTGAGCGAGGAACTCACACAACCGAAGCTGGAAACTGAAAGTGTTGATGCCGCCGACAAACAGGCCATTAACGACAGCGCTTCCACAACAATGTCCGAGACGCAGTCGAAAGCTAAAGACACAGAGGAGCCCGCAAAGCAGTCGGAGAAAGTTGCATCATCCCAAGAGTCAACACCAGCGCGTCATGAAGCGTCTACACAGCCGCTGCGCAGACCTTTGCTACATCGCCTGCAAAAAATCGGCGTAGAGTTGGCTTACAAAGTGCAAACACGCTATCATTTAGATGCCGTTATGCATTTAACACGCGCCGAACAGTATGATATCATACGCCTAGCGACACATTTGCATGCGCTCTACTCGCAGACGTGTCAGTCACCCGGACGCCAGCACACCGTCGAAGTGATCGGCTTGAACAACAACATGCAGTTCTTTATGGACCTCATACAGAAAGAGCAACGCTTACAAGCGCAGCGTCAACTTGCCTCACCGGGCACTAAATACAAGAGTCCGGTGCTGAGCTATGCGGTGGATATGGTGGATTGTTGCGTGCGCCATTGTGAGCAGCTGGACTATCTGATTGAGCATGGTCAGAATATATTCGAATTGGCGAAGAATCATGAAACTTTCGAACCCTCAGTATCGGCCGTGCTGCAGGAGCTCTTTGTTTTCTTGAAACCATCAGAAGCTATACACATCTTCGCTTACGACAATATAACGCCACTCGTCGAAGTGATTACTCGTTCCATGGAGTATATAACCACTTTTCCGGGTGATCTAATTATGGGTTTGCGCATATTGCGTCACTTGGCTATCGGTTCCGATAGCAAAGCATTCCGCAGCTCACAAACCGAGGAGCTGAAACATCGTTTTGTCACGCTGCAATTCTACACCGCCGATGGCGTACAAACAATTATACAAATCTTAGAGAAATTATGCTCGTACTTCGAGCAACCGGGCCTGCATACGCCAGCGCTGATGACGCTACAAGGTCTGCATTGTTGTCAGATAATATTGCCTGCCTTGCAGGTGCTACGCGCTATGCTCTCGTTCGCAATAAAGTGTCGCGATGCAGAATTTAAGGATCTAACCGCCATCGATCACCTGATGAAAGCATATTTCCTCTTGCACTATTTCCCCGCTGGTAGTCAAGCGGCCCAGGCAATCGCTGAGGCCAAACATGAGATCATACAAATCTTCCTGGCCTACACACAGCCAAATGAACAGGATGAGGAGTCACTGCATAAGTCATTATGGACGCAAATGATTAGAGAAATATTGAAGAACATCGATGGACCCTCCACCTTCCTGCCAGGTGCGTATTATTAATATTTATACGCTGAACGGGGTATATAAAGTCTGCTACGAGTGTTGTTATTCCTAAGATAACTTCGGAGACCATATAATTTTATATTTTTAAAAGACCAGCGTGATCAGCTTAGCCGCAGTTAAAGTTTTTCTTTCCTTTTTTTTCTCTTTAATTTACTTTCAATTTATAAAACTTTTGCGTTTACAGGGTTGCATGTGCTGGCTGAGTTGCTGCCACTGCCATTGCCCATGCCGCTGCCCGCCGCGGTGCACGTACCCGAAACGCAGAGTCAACGTTTGATCACCGAACGCAAACTGTGGTCTGCTCATCTGCATCCGCTTAGCGCTCAAATCGCCAAACTGATTGAGACTATTGCACCCACCACCTTTCCGCCTTTGGTGGATCTCATGACAAAGGTGTGTCTACAACTCGCCGACTTGGCGCCTAACATGACGCTGCTCATCTCGAAAACACTCAGCGATTTGCTCTGTGCCGAATGGCAGTCAGCTGCGGCAACACCGACTGCGCAATTGGCACGCCTGTTGAATTTCTTTGCGCGCCTAACCTCATTCGCGGCGTTGAAAATTTCCTCCATCACTATACTCAACGGCAAGCTATGGGAACTCTTTCAGTCGGTGCTCTGCTATACGGGCGCTGCCTCCTTAGAGGTGGTACAGCGCGCTCAGTTAGCCATACATAATATTTTAAGAAGTTTCCTAGATCCGAGCATTTCTTTTGTTTCGCCGAAATCAACAGCATTGCCAGAGTTGAATTTGGCCGCGGCATTGCCGGCGAAAGAGCTAATACCGCGCATAATTGAGGCCACATTGACTAACCTTTTTAATAGCGATGCGCAACAGCAGGTGTGTGAGTCGGCGCTGAACAACTTGAATTTGCTAACGGAACTTGAGTGAGTTTGCTGTTCTTTTTTATATATTTGATATTTTCAACTAACCTTTTTCGTACGCCTTTCAGCATTACGATGCACCACTTGACGCAGCAGCTAAAGCAAAGACGCACCGACTTTCAACAGTGGCTTGACAAATTCCTTAACGTTGTTGAAGGCGTTGAGGTGCGTCTCGCCTCCATTGAACTACTCATAAATTTACTACATTCGCTTACACATATTGCCGACTATTTACAACAACAAAAAACGTTACCCAAACGCAGCTTAAAGTTGTCTACAGCGGAGCTTCACCATCTACTTGGCTACCAAAAAAATGCCACGCCCACACTAATGCAACGTTTGAGCGACGCGCAGATAAAATGTAAAGATAAAACGCCAACACAAATAAAATCAGAAGATGATAGTACTTCCGCCAGCAAGTTACTTACTGAAATCACCATCGAATTGAACGCCACTGACGCTAGCGCAAGCGCAGAGAGTGAAGACGACAACAGCGCCATCGGCGCCCATGTAACTGAGCCAACGCTGCCACAAAGTGAGGGCATAGTCATGCAATTCGCTGCGCGCCCGATTTTCGTAGAAGTCGACGCGGCAGCAGATGAGCCACAACTGTTAGCGCGTTATTGGTTGCAGGTGGATTGTATAGATTGGGATGATGGTAAATATGAGCGCGTCGCTTGCGATCTCACCGAATTGGCTGCAGAGTATTTAGCGTCCGAAACAAATCTCACAACCGATTGTAAGCGCGTGTTGCACTTGTCCGCATCGCCGCAATCGAATCGTGAGCGCACACCCACCGCACCCTGCTTCCGTACGCGTCGTGTCGAAGTGGAGCCGAGCACAGGCCGACCGGAGAAGAAAATTTACATAACGCCAGTACGCGGACGTGGTTTCGCACGCGCGCCACCCTCACGCGGCGATCTCTTCCGCTCGCGTCCGCCTAACACATCGCGTCCGCCTTCTTTGCATGTCGACGATTTCCTGGCATTGGAGACTTGCGGCGCGCAACCTACCGGCCCGACGGGCTACAACAAAATACCGCCTATGATGCGCGGCTCACGCGTCGGCCGCAATCGCGGCACACGCATATCGACGGCAGCAGCGTTTCGGTGAGTAAAACTATAAGCGACTTGAAAAAACGAAAACCATTTAAATATTAGTTCACTTTACAGCAAATCCAAGGTGATGCGCACCGCATCGCCGTCAACCTGGGCCGAAGGCGGCTCACCACATTATCGCAGCGCCACCACCGAACCGCACTTTGGCGATACACATTACTCGAACAGTGCGCACTTCAGTGGGCGCTCACGCGGCCGTGGCGGACGTCCTCGTCCCTACCTCCGTTAGAGTTTAAGCACATGCGTTGGCAAATAATTTAAGTTGAATTACTCTTTTTTTATTAAAAAAAAAAAAAAAAATACATACATACATACATAATTAAATATACTTAAAAGTATATACAATATACAAAACATGGAGCAGAACTATGTCATTAACCACCACCCACTTATGCTGTCACCACAGTCGTAAGTCGCACATCGTGCGGCTCCAGTGGCAAAGTGCCCTCCTCAACGATTTGTTCGCGGAATGCCAGCGCCATCAGTATCGGCCTCTTCTCAGGATAAGTATCGAAATGCCGCTTTAGGAAACCATCGTAATAACCCATGCCATGACCCATACGATCGCCGCTTAGCGTAAACGCCACACCGGGCATCAAGAATAAATCAATGCCGCGTCCTACATAAAGGTAAATGCAACAACACACATTAAAACACACATAGTAGAAATCACGAAAAGAATCCAACATTTCACTAATTTTACGCACCATTTGTCAAGGCGCTCTCACGTCCATCCTTAATGCTTGGCTGTTTAATGTGCCATTTGGTTAGCGGCAATGACTCATAGTCGTTCCAGTCTTTGACGCGCACCATTTCCATCAGTCTGCCATAGTAGGTGGGCACAAAAACATTCTTCTGCTGATTGAAGAGCTCACGCAGCAGCGCCAATGTGTCGACTTCGCTGCCAGTGCTGAGGTAGATGCTCACATCCTTTGCCTGACGAAATGCCTCGGAGGCGATTACCTGCAAGTTATTAAAATTTAAAATTTTGCTATAAATGTATTTTTGTACACTGTGCTGTTATCTTATACCTTCTCATAAATTGCCTTCGACTGCTCCACTATAGACTCGGCGCTAATCGCCGGTATGACTTCTGTCTTCATGCGTTGTCGCAAGATTTTCTTCAAAGGATTTCCAATTGCACTAGCCATATTTCTAATTAAGTACTTAAATATAAGAAAAATAATATAATAATAATTATCTATATCCTTTAGCTTGTCTTGCGTGCTCTTCGCTCTGACTTGTGTAAAATTGTACTATCACTAAAACTCAAAATTTGCACGATTTGATGATATTTTATATGTCTAATCTGCGTGTTTTCAAACTAATGCCGCGTTTCTTATCTCCTTCTACTACATGTACATCCACTTTGCTGCCGGGGTTATCACTTCAAATTTTGAGCAGTTTACATGTTTTTTTTGTTTGTTTTGTTTTTGCGCAGGCCTTATGTTTGTCGTCTAAAAGCACATACACCTATTTACATTTGTGTTGTTTTGATCATAAATCATTGAAACTTTTATAAAAACTTCCCCCGGTTCGCTCCAGGTGCTTATTGTTTTCGAACTATATAATATATATACAATATATATATACAGCAATATTAGATCCGAAAGAAAATTATTTCCTTTATATAGTTGAATTTTGTTACTGATAAACGCACTTAAATTTTGCATGCCTAGGTAATCCCTGCCTTCAATGAGTGTGCCATAAGCAAGCAATGATCTCAAAATAAACAAACAGTAAATAAAATTGATAAGAGAAAAGTTTCCCGCGTTTAATGGTGGTCCAAAACAATTTATACCCCGACATCATTTAATAGAGAGAAAAGATTGTTTTTATTTAGGCGATGTGAGTGTGTCAAGGGCGTCCATTCTTGCTACCTGATCGGTTTTGCAGTTACAAACGATTCCGCTATGAATGGACACCTTACAATATGATGAAATAGTTAGATGCTATTTCTAGTGATTACAGATACTACTTGACTAGCTTTGACCGCAAAGTTAGCGAGCTTAGCGCTAATATTGCCGCCTCGTTGTTGGAGTGATTGCTTACCTCCTTGAAACGTTCAAGCTTCTTAGCGAATGTAAATAAAGTGTTAATCACTGCTATATAATTATGTTCTGCTGTCAGCCTATTTTGTTGTAATTTTGTTCATTGCTTTTTTCTTTATCATAAAAAATGTTTGGGAACTATACTCTGCTTGCAGAGTTGACAAAAAAAAAATACCGCAGAGTTCATTACTCAGCGCGATTACACTTAAAGCTTTCTATGTAGATGTATGTATATATGTATGTGGCGCTATTTGATATTTACAACAAACACGTACAATTATATGAATTTCTTTTCTTCTTTAGCATTTAAAAATATTGTACAAAAATTAAGCGACATGGTTTATGGCGATGTGTGTTATGATTATCGATATCGATTATTTATGACAGATTGGATAATAACAACAAACTATTAAGAAGTAATAATAAACATAATTTGTACATTTTTTTTTGTATATATTAGGGTAAATCAATATCAGTAACAATATACCATATTTAAATATTTGGTATTAGTAGTAAAAGCTACTCGTTTAACTATAAAATTCGTATATGCACATTTGCGTGCAAAAAATTGGGGTATAAACACCAATTGGCGTTGTTCCAAAATTCCTTGCTATTTAGTTTATATTTCGTCTACTTGCATCATTTCATTATTTCGCCGGTTGTGCGGTGGCATTTGTATGCTTTCCTGCGTCGTCGCTTTTGGTCTTTAGATTCTTCAGTTGTTCCTTTTGCTAATGATTGTGAAAGTGAAAACAAAAGCATAGCAAATATTCTAAATTAAGTAGTAAAATTGCCACGCACCTGCTTATAGAAGAATTCCTCTTCGCGTGCTGCCTCCATTTTGCCGAAAGAGCCGCCTGCCTCGCGTATGGAACCACCACCACCGCCACCCTTGCCTGCACCGCTGCCTAACTCACCGACTTGCGACATTTTGCGACAACTAAATTTTTAAATTTGTTTTTTTTTTATAATTGTTCCTCTGCTAAGAGCTATATTATATAATCTATGAAGTAGCTGGGAACTGACTTACTGTTGTTTCAACGCTTGTACAACAACGATTGAGCGACGTGGTAGCATTTCTGCGCTTTTTATTTCACTGCTAACACGTAATTTTTATTGTATTTCACAAATATGTGTTTTTATTATTGTCACTAATTTGTTTAAAAATAGTTTTATGTACTAATCGAAAGTTGTTTTCGTTCTTAAATGTGTCTGCTGTTGTTTGTCTGTTTATCACAAGTGCGTGATGAAGAATGATGAATATTCGATGAAATTTGTAAAATGCATCAGCTGTTTCCCATTTTGTCTGCGCCTAAATGTATGCTTGTTGAAGTGATAGTGTAAACATATACAGTGGCAGAGGAAATGCATTTGATAATATCTATCCTATCTTATGACTTCCTTGGGGATTCCAATCTAGAGCTTGTCGGTAAACTTCTATAGCATCTTTTTGCAGTGTTTGATTTATCCATCTCCATTTCCGCTATTTGATATACCAGCAGTTGGCCATGGGCCATATTAAACTAGATACGGAATTATTTTAAAGAAATAAAAGTTTGTCTGGCGCTTTATCATGAAACACAAAATGTAACGAGTTTCCAATGCAATCCCGGACGGAATCGCTGAAAATTGTATCACCAAATCATTCAGGGAAGGTCGGGAAGCCGTCTAAAACTCGCCTCATGCGCCCATCCATCTCTCTTCATGACAATAACATCGTAAAAATTGAAGACACAGTGCTTGAAAATGGTCGTGTTGGCATCAGAGAGATAGCAAAGGATCTCACCATCTTTTATAAATCAACTGAATACAATTGTAATGTTTTGGTTATGAAGTATGTCACTGCTAAACTCGTACCAAAATACCTTAATCTTTTGCAAAACCGACGTCGAGCAGAGACGCAAAAGAGATGCTTAACAACGTAGCTGAGGACCCTACATTTATAAAACGCATCATTACTGGTGACAAAACTTTGGTATATGATTATGGCGTCGAAACTGTCCAACAATCTACCGAAAGTCGTTCCAAAAGTATTAAAAAAATTAGAAGAAGCCGACAAAACCAAAATACAATGAAGCCTCTGAAGGACATCCCAGTCGAGGCTTATAACAAGTGTACGGAAACATGGATTAAACGTTGGCATGTTTGCCAATAATTTGATAATAAAGATTTGTCAAAAGATACGTGAAAATGTATTTTTTATCAGTCCGGGTCAAATGTGATCAGATTGTTTATTTTTCACTAATGTTCCAATCGTCCAAGTTTCCACATAAAACAATAGGCAGGGTATTTGACAGAGGAGTCAAGTCGCGTTGATTTATCGCTTTGTTTACATAAAAATATCTATTAAGTAGTAGCCGCAAATACCGTGTTTTTTAGCAACACTTGATTATAGAAGACCTACGATTACTACGACGCATGGTTTTTTGTACCTTTCTCTTCTCTTTACAAGATCTTATCCTATCTTAGGATATTCGAGAGCTAAGGAAGAGTTACCTCAAATAATCTGCTCACCTTACGAATACAGTAATTTAATCATGAAGTCATTTTGGACTTGAAGCCGTCTCGTCTTTGAAGTACAGATTGATCTCTGCATGTCAAGGTGCGCAGTTTGAAACCAGTACCTTTCTCCTTTTTTTTCGCTGCTCTTTCCGAGGTCTTTCCAAGTTGCATTGGCATCACCGAAACCTAAAGTCTCTTCATATTGCAATACTCAGGTATACCAATTGTCAAGATCGAAATATTTTTAGACTATCGACACCTGAAATCCGTTACTATTAATCGCATACAGCCAAAGGTAATTAAAACCTTCAACATCATACTCATCTACTATTCAATATACTCGAAGAATCTAAACAACATTTTCTTATAACCATAGATTTCTCGCCCACCTACGCTTTTCGAAATAAAATAGTCAATTAATAGGCATAGATGATTCTTTTGGCAATCGCTTAAGTTTAATATTCCAACTATGTTATGGAAGGCAAAATATCAAAAATATATGTGTACATTTGCAATTCTACATATAAAAATTTTACTAAATAATAAATATGTACATAAATGGCGCTCTTGGGTCACATATGCTAGTCTAAAACATATTCACATATCGATTATCTATATGTTGTGTCCGATTTTTCCACGTTTATATGTGAGTCTCGATATTAAACCTACATACGTACAACTGGTTGTGCGTTGGCAACGCGCATTCACCGTTATAGTTACAATATTGCTTGTTTGTGTGCGAGTGAGCGTACGTGTGTGTGCAAATACGTGCAACTCTGCTCAGTTGGGCTTTTTTAAATTTCCCACATTTTTTCCCCGGAAACGAACGTACATACTAGTTCTCAAAAATGTTAAAAAAAAATATAAAAACAAAAAACGAAAAAAAATTTAAAAAAGCCAACTTGCATATAAACTTATGTTTACCAAAAAAAATATTATTTTGTTGCTTAATTTTTTCGTCTGTTTCAATAAATAAATAAAAATAACAATTTTGAAAAGAAAAAAATTTTCACTCCGTATATCGGGCATTGCGTATTTTAGACATTGCCTCCGCTTGATTTGAAAACTGCAAAGCGCGACGACTATTTTCCAAAGCGATATCATCACGCATTTTCTGCTCGGCTTCCAAGTGCATTTTTTGTTCGAGCCGACGCAAGTTCATCGACTCCTGCAGCGAAGACGACGAAATATACACAAACAAATACGAGTGAAAAACGACGTACAACAATTATGCCACTTTAGTAAGTACAATAAAAACAAAAACTTTCCGAACTCACCTCGGTTAGGAAATACAGCTCTTCCATGCAATTCTTATGCTTGTTCATTAAGCTCTGCTGACGATGTGCTGGCGTCACATTATCGAGCTCTTCGATCTCGTCGATCACATTGTTCATGTCGGTGGTGTCATAACCGGCGCCGCGTAGCGTCTGTTCGCGCATCTTGAGCAAAAGTTTTAAGTCGTTCATGTTAAAGTAACTTTCTTCCTTAAAGCAGCCAGCTAATTTCTCGAGGCCACCGCCCGGTATATGCGCACTGTATTCATTGGTAAAGCGACGATTGGCGCAAAAACTGCAAAAAAGAGGGAATAAGTAAATTTCAAGAAAATAGTCATTACGTTTATCTCAAAGTTTACGTATTAAGGTGGAGTGTACCTCGGAAAATTTTGTTGTGCACCCAAAAGGCCGCGTTTAATGATTCTCGCCAACATATTCTTTTTTTTTCTTAAAAAAATATATTTTTTCGTACTAAATTATTTGATTTCCAAAAAGTTTGTACAAATTTCATTTGACTTAAAGTACCAAGATTACTGTTGGAAGCCATGTAAAAGGGGGGTTTTATTTGTTGCACAGCATTTGTAAATTAATGTATTCAGAGTAGGGACCGACTGTCTATCGTGATCGGTATGTAATACAGTGAAACCTAATGATAGCTGTCTATTTTCGTATTTTTCTTTTTTTTTTGGTTTGACTTCAGCTTACCTAAAATACAGGAACTTGTAGCAACTGTGTATAGGTATATTACGAAGATGAATAACCTTTCTAGTGAATAACTTCAAAGCAAAAATTTGGAAATCTCGCTGAAGAGAGCGGTTGACTTCTTAAAGAAGGGATATAAAATATCAGTCAAAAAGCGGATAGGTTCTCTTGCTTTGGTAGAAATCATTCATTTGTAATATTGGATGAATAAATTATTTTGGATGGTACCTACATTTTACGACACCCAGTGAAAATCTGAGTTATACTCTATTTCTCTATACTCAGTCTCTTAGATTTCGGCCGACTTAGTTTGCACTTCATGATTTTCTTACATCCCATGAACTACGCTCATCTTACAGATTTCTTCCTCTTTAATTTCCTTTTCCGGCCCTAATTACTCGTATTGCATTTACAGTCTTCCCTTTTCGGATCTTTGGTTTTATCAGTCCACTTTTTTATCTTCCTCAAACTAACTTTTTTTGATACTTTAAGATCCAGCACCCTTTTCAAAATTCGTTGTGCTACAACTATCGCTTTACGTTTACTAAAAATAAGTTTGATGTTTTCCTTTTCGTTTTTATAACACCAAAATTGATTTGTCAAATAAATTTTTGTCCAAAACATCAACTTTGAAGCCATAGAAATTCCAACTTTTACTGCAAATGTTTCTTACCAGAATGGTCAGCGGTTTTATTTGCTCCAAAAACTCCAAGTAAGCGTCTTCTGCCGCCCTAATGGAATGGCAGGCAAAATCAGCTGATTTAAATATTGTCCTACTAATAAATTACGAATCTTTTTATTTTACAGCAAAAATGCAAACAATTCAAACCAACAGCAACAACATGGGTCTACACAACAACATGGTCAACATGCAAAATCGCCGAAATTACGTAAGAAGACGGAGAAAGGAAAGCGTTCATTGTCGAAAACCGATTCGAAGAAGTCCATATCCGACTTGTTGAAGACGCAAGGCAAAGAGACGGTGGAAAGACCCAGCAATAGCAGCTGTTGTAACAGTAATTATAGTAACAGCAGTAGTACTGGCAACGCCAACAAGGAGGCGCCTAGTACTTCAAAGTCAACTTTGAAACCGCCAACCAAAGTGAAATCCGGTAGTTGGAAGCGTTCGGAAAAGCAAATATCCACTTACAATGGCATTTCCGTTGCTGGCAAGAAATCGAAAACGCTGCGTAAGCGCTCACCCACTTGGCTGAAATTCCCCAATACACCCGTGAAGATAGCCGAAAAGGTGACTTATGTGAGTCCCGCTGATTCTACATCAGTATGCCGCCCAGGTACACTCTATTCGGATGTGCTATTCGGTGCCGGTTCCTCCTGCCTGGTGAAAATCAAAACACTCACACCACGTCGCACCGCTAACACTGCACAGAAGAAGCTCACAAAAGCGCTGCTGAAGTGTAATGGGAATGAGAATGAAGTTGCTTCGGCTAGTGAAACTGAGACGGATCGTGAACTTTTTCCCAGTCTAAATGGTGTCGCCACTACAGCCTCCACAAGTGCGAGTGCTACAACTTCCACACCACCAGATGGCAGTCCTCGAAAAAGTAATACACCACTGTCGACGGCCGGTTCACCTATGTCTACGACGACAACATCGGAGTCGACGGTCACCAGCACGACGAACGCTAGCAAATCGTTGCTTAACGAGCCTACGTTGCCGCTAGTTGTCACGCTGCCTAAATGCGATGATGATGCCGATGTTGTGATACTCTCTGAAGCGAATGGTGTTGGCGGCACCACTGAGAATGGTTTCAATGACGTTTCGTATGGCAATTACCTGGAGCAACATTTCAAACAAATGAACGGCACCGCCGCCACATTGGTGGGACCAAAGGCGTTAGTTACAAATCTGGGTGTTGCGGGGAATGACACATGGGAAGGCACAAATCTCGATGCTGGCACCATCGTACAGGCAGATGTGGCGCTAAGCGGCTTTTCACAGATTGCCACGAAACCCTTCACCATCGACATACCACAATGGAATTTCTTGGATGCTGATGTCAGCACTGATGCATATCCGAAGTTCCTCTGTCAATTCGAAGATGAACACTACCTAAAGGCGGAAAAAATGGCACTATTGGGCTTGAAGTTAGCCCTGGGCAATGGTAGCTCTAATCCGCAGCAAGCCAAGTTCAAATTTTGAGTAAAAATAGCAATACAAGCAACTTGTTATAATTTTATTTAGTCTTATCATTTTTATATTGTAATAAATAATAAAATAAATGTGTAGAAATTTTCTTTTACTAAATGTAATATTAGATGTGTATCAGGGGAACGAACAAGCCGGGAAGATAGAAACTTTGTAGTGAATTTAAAGTTTCTTTAACTTATCCATGTTTCGGAACTGCCTCCAATGTTCATGTTCAGAGTTCACGAAGTAATTTTTACTCTTTGTCGTCCCTGTTTCACTGCTGTACACTGAATACTATGATCTCCACCGGGGGTTTAATTGGGACTGCTTGGTTCGGTTAAACTGATTCATTTTTATTATTCGGATCACCGGACACCTTGAATAATATTGATAAAAAGGTTGTATCTACAGACTGAGCGTGACCGATGAATTGAATTTAAGGTCGATTCACTAATCAGCTTCCGTTTAAGAAATCAGCATATGAGTTCTCATCATCAGTAATAGAGTCTGATTTGCATAAATGAAGGACTAGTCCACAGATGGCGGTGCTTACGGTGATGAAGATGGGTAAGGGCAACTCCGTTAAGATTTATGTCGTCTGGTCCAAATCGTTGCTGTTAGTATGGGTATGTTCGCTGAGAAACTGAGACGGTGATTCGATTTTGAAAATTAATTAATATAAAATTCGTAAATCTTCTTAAATTATTATACACTGAGCAGGGTATATTAAGTTTTCCACGAAGTTTTAAACACCTAGAAGGAAACATGGGAAACCCTATATAATATATAATATATATAATTGATCAGCATGACGAGCTGAGTCGATTTAGCCCTGTCCGTGTGGTGTCTGTAAGAACTAGTCCTTCAGAAATCAATCTGTACATAGCCGATATCGGACCACTATAGCATATAGCTGCCATACAAACTGACCAATCAAAATCAAGTTGTGAAGGTTATGATAGCGTCGGTGCATCTGAAGTTAAGGTTTTTTCTTGTTTTCCGTTACTTTTATAATTCTTCTTCTAAATATTTTGTCGCATGAACTATGCACACACATATGTCCATATATAATCTTGAGATCAATTTCAATATTAAAAGAAAATTCAAAACAATTTTTAACGGTTTTCTAACTTTTTCGGATTATTTTCATTTACCGCCATTTCGACAACTCTGCTTCAAAGAACTCTGAAACTTGTTAGTATTCCCACTCAAATCACTTTTTCTTCACAAACTTTCACACACTCACAGTGCGCCTACACTCTCTCAACGCTCTCTCTCTCACTGCTAATGCACACAATCACAACTGCAAATGCAAATGATAGGAAGATTCCAGTGTCCACAATGCAACTGAGCGCGCTGGAAATGCAATTAACTGAGAGTACGCAACGCGTAGTAAAGCATAGAACATGATAAAGAGCGAGAATGTGTGAGTGCGGACAAATGGCGAGCGGCTCCGGCAGTGGCGGCCATCGGAAATTCTGGTATAACGCAGTTAGCAGTAGTTGAACGCGTTGAGTGCTTGCGACATTTAGACGTGGTGCGGTCGTATCGAGAAATTGTGCGCGGAACAAACGCACCGAATAATAATAATAAAATAGCTATAACAAGACTACAGAGCAGAAAAGGTAAAAAACACACAAAGTGAATTGAGTTGTAAAACGCGTGTAAAGTAAACGTACTTGTTTAGTAATGGAGAATATTGTGGCGAATAGCACTTAATTTATATTAAAATATAACGCAGTGTATATAGTATATATGTATGTAATTACCGAATTACGCGAAAAACGAAAGGCTACTATCTGTAATAAACGAAGTGTGGAGTGCGCGGCGGAGCATCATTTGTGCGTGTGAGCAAATTTGTGTGTTGGCGTAGAGGCAGCAGTCAGTGTAGGCGCCGTCGCCGCTATATACACTATGTGTAAATTCAATAATAGTCAATTTTTTCTTACCGTCTGTGGCTTCTCTACTATTTTCATCCAGTGCCAGTGTCTTTTCATATAATTTGTTTTTTTTTTTTTTTGCAATTCAGCTGGTGAGACCAAGTGAGCGAGTTGCCAGCTTGGTTTGTTAAATGGCTAAATAAATCTCGCTTGAGCGCAAAGTGTTGTTGTATTGGAAAGTAAAAGAGATAATACTAAAAAAAAAAAACAAAATTAACACTGTTTGGTGCTATACATTTGTTGGTAAAATTTTTTTGTTTTTGTTGGTTAAAGCTAAAATGCCGGTGATTAGCGCGCGCCTATGCGCCTAGACAGTGCAACAAATCAGTGGAATTTTACGTATTTGTGAATGAACGAGCACCTACCACATTTTGGCATAATCATTTGCATTGCTTGGTCGCAACGAAACGCCAACGCGTTTAACGTTTCTAACTCCGCGCGCCTCCACAGCGCCGTCATATATGTATATCCGTTTATATATAGAAAAAAGTGGTGTAACAGCGCGTCTGCAAGTGCTCCACTGTAGGCGGTAAATCGTACGGGTCGTTTGGTCGGTCGGGTGCCAACGTTGCCATTGTAAAGTGCCGTCATATGCAATGCCTCAAAATGGCTGCATACAAAAAGAAAAGTGTTGTTCGAAGTTTAATTTTGCCATGAAGTGCAGCAGCAGCTAGCAAATGGAAATTAATTAATTAATAAATATGCTCAATTGTCGAGTGCGTGCGTGCGTCGCGTTGTGTTGCTTTGCGTTATTCATGTCATTTTATTGTATTTTATTTCTTTGTTTAAGCGCATTCGTGTGTGTTTTCGTTATATATGTATATATTTCAATATTTTTTCTGTCTGAGGGGTGTTGTGCGTGTTTATGTCAACTCCGCAGAGGCTGTGTGTACCTACGTCTATAATGAAATATGCGTATAACGCGCCGTATAACGCCGCATACCGTTGCGTCCCACTTCTTACGTGTGCGCCCGTTGCTGATTGTCTTTTATTATATTTTCTATTCAAGCTTTGTTTTTGTCATTTCGTTTTTTTTTCGTGCGCATATTACGGTGTTGTCGATATAAGAAACCTCGTCTCACTAAATATTAGCGTTAATATTTTCAACGTAAACACCGTTGTCGCTTTTGTGCAGCATCCGTCGACCATAACTTCATAAGCTAAACAAGCAATTTTTACTCATTTTTTTTTTTTATGGCGCTGGTGTCATCGTCATCATCACCATTATCATCTTCAAGTTCTCCACCTCGTTTTGTTCTGTTTTATATCATAATATATATGTGTATATGTTTATAGTTGTCTGCTATGCTTACACCCTGCCTTCCGGTGGCTTTGACTTCACTTAGCGCATCCACTATAGGGACTAACTATGCCGACAAGTTCGTTGCTTCGTCGATTTTTTTGTTTGTGTTTTCTTACTGAGAAATTTTCAATATTTTTCTTTTCGTCTTCATGGCGGCGGCAGCGCGTAAACTTACATACATATGTATTTCTGCTGGCCACTTTGATGTTTGCCGACCTGTTTCGTCCGTGTTTGCCAGCCTTCCTGCTGATGGTTTAATTTTCGTATATAGTTTTTATTACATTTAATGAAAAGGGGCCACAACACGCAACCTTACGTTACGTTTATGCGGCAAACGCGTAGGCATTGTGGACAAACCGGTAGTCTGAAGCAATTTTTTATTGGTTGAGTGTGCCAAATTTCGCAATTTGTTTTGGCATAAAAATATAAAATAAAAGAAAATCGTGCGCTTAAAAATTTAAACAGAAATAGTAAAAGCAATGAAAAATAAATAAATTAAAAAATTAAATTAAATTAATAAAAAAAAATTTTTTTTTTAATTCGCGCGAGTTAAAAATAATAATAATTAATTTACAAATAAAATTGAAAATTTGTGTTTATTGCAAAAAAATGTTTGAAAAAAATTTAAATTTTGTTTTGTTCCCCTCTGCTATTCAGTAAAATTTTTAGGCGTTGAAAATAAGTTTGAAAGCAAATAAATCTCTGGGATTTAATTCCTCTTTTATCACTACGTTTTTTGTATACTACGCATTTTGGTATAATAGAATTTAATTTTCAAACGTTATCAACGTATCAAGCAAAATTAAAAACCAAACCAACAATAACCATGTGTAATATCTACAAAAACGCATCACCAACTTCAACTAGTTGGATAGCAACGTCATCGGCAACGTTGGGTTCGGAGATGACGGCAGGCAAACGGCGCGCGACTGGTGGCATTTTAACCAGTCTCACGCCAACACATGTGACCACCAGCGGTAGCAGAAAATTTTTACTTGCAGTCGCGCTGTTTGTCCTGTTGGCCAGCGTTAATGGTGCTACTGATCAGGTGAGTTAGTAAAGCCGTTTTTTAAATAAGATTAATATATTTCAGATAATAGAATGTTAAGTGCATCTGATCTTAGTTCATTAATTTTCTGAATATACAAATTAAATGAATATGTAAAGTTCAAGTTGGGTTTAGATACATATGCATTATTGTCTGATCTAAGTGTGTAAGTAAATGAGATACAGTGTAAATGATATGCGTTGCATAAAAGCAACTAATGGTATATCTGTTAATATTAAACCATCAGTGAGATTACTTGTAGATCTTCAAAAAAAAAAAAAAATATATATATATATATATTAATTTATTATTGCAACAAAAAAAATATTTCCTTAGGCAAATTTTTTTGCCATCTGATAATCTGATAAAATTTGGGCTGGACTGATAAAAAATACATTATCACGTATTTTTATACACAACTTTATTATCGCCTACGAAATAGGCTCCTGAGCCAATGAAAGCAATCCAACGCTTAATCCAGTTATCTATACAGAGGTTAAAAGCCTCGGCTGGGATAGCCTTCTGTGCCTTCAGCGAATTCTGGTTTTGATTCATTTTTGGAGCGCCATTCGTTGGATATTCGACGTCATAGTGAAAAATCTATGTCTCGTCACCAGTGACGATGCGTTTGATGAATGTAAGGTCGTTTGCTAAGTTGTCAAGCATATCTCTTGCGACCTTTATTCGGCATCGTTTTTGCAAAAGATTAAGATATTTTGGTACGATGACACGATTTAACTAGCTTCATATCCAAAACATGAATCAAAATGTGTTGAATTGATCCAGAAGAGCTGTTGAGATCCTCTGCTATCTCTCTGATGCCAAAAAAATAATTCTTAAACACTTTTCCTTAACTTTTTAGATGTTATCGTTGTTTAAAGAGGACAACTCGCATGCGCAAAGTTTTTAAAGAGTTCATGATTTTCACTCGTGATAAAGTAGATTCTCCAAAACGTTTCTGCAGCATTTTCAACGATTTTGTAGCCGTGATTTCATTGAACAAATAATTTCAAGCAAATGTAAAAATAGCATAGCATAGTAGAAATCGCCAGACAAACACTTCGCGTCGTAAACAAATAGCTGCCAAATACACACTAATTGACATATGGAGATAAAACTTCACATGTGTAAATGGACTACTTCGGAATAATAATATAATATAATAATGGAAATAATGGAATAATAAAATATAAATTGTTTGTATATGCTATCTTACTACTAAATAGATTTGAGTTAGTAATTACAATTTCCTAACATTTATGAACCTATTTCCAGGCAAGTTTTCTATAATCTTCACTCCTGTTACTTTGCGAAAATTGCTTAAATATTTTAAAGTTATGTTTTGTAACAACATGTGTTAAGTAAGAGATTATAAATTATATTTTGTCTGAAAACAACACTTCACACGTTTACTTAGCCTTCAACACTCATACTGCATGATTCTCGAAAACAGCTGCTTCAATTCATCAAAACTTTAATAAAACAATATCAAAGAACACATTCGCCACAAAATTATTTTCTAAGAACTAAATGCAAATAAGAAATGTCTCAAACAAATGGTGAGATCGCAGCAAAACTTATGCATATTCAGCAGATCGTCAGCCAGTAGCACTGAGAAATCGCTGAAAGGAGTAAATAATTAAAAGCAAAATTGCAAAATGCTGACAATTACGTGAATGGTTATTAAACGGTTATAAACTGCATTTAAACGGTACTTTGCGAACGACCTGCATACATATACAAACATATAAAAGTGCAAAATACACAAAAAAATAAAAAAAAACATTTATGCATATATGCGAGGAAAGGCTTGAATGATAGAGGATCCAAGGAAAAAACTGTAAACCTGAAGAGAGCGGTGTAGATAGCTTGTAGCCATATGACTACGGCCTCTTGGGTCACTTTGCCCACACTTTACTTCGCCTGCGCAAGTGTTTGTTTGTTTTTGCGCTGACGAATGTCTATCCAACAACTGCATTGCCGCTATGTAGACAGACGTCGGCTCGTTAAATGCAGCAGTTGTCCATTTGCACAGCCAAAAAAGACATAGGTACTTACATACATACTACATGCATATAAGAAATGTAAAAAACTTTGCGAAATCGTCACAATTTTCGCACAATAAGGAAATGCAGTTTCACTCGGCTGTTACAATGTTTGCTGTTGTTGTTGTTTTGGCTGCTGTTGCTACTACAATAGTTCCTTCTACATACAATGTAACCAGTTTGACCATTACAAATGTTATACTTTGTAGGTGCCGCTGTTGTTGTTGCTGCGGTTGCTATTTGTTTACTCGTGCTTGTCTGACGACGGTGCCATTCATTGCAATTGCCTGGCCTATTGTACGTACGTTATTGCCCACTACAGCGTCTATTCATCAGACTTTTATCAGTGGGTCGGTTGTTCAGTTTTGTTGTTGCATTAATACTTGCAACTACTAGTTTTAGATTGAACGCTTCAAAAAAAGGTCACATACTCCCAAAGAGACCAACATGCATAGAAATATAGAAGCGGTATCGCATATTTAAGCGCATTAACCATGCAATGCCGTAGTTTCAATACGCTCATTTATAGGTTGTGTGTGTGTGTGTTTTTTTATTTTTTGGTATTTGTAGCATATGTGCAGTTATAGTTGCTGTTTGTCATTTCTATTTCATTTGTCTGGTGCCAGCTACTGACAACTGTCACTCCAACAATTTGACGTTTGATGTATTATGGTTGTTGCAATTGACTACATTCTTATTGTTGTTGTTTTAATTTTTACGATCATGCCACAATGCATGTTTGGTAGTTGTTGTATTGAAAGATTGTTTGTTTTCTGTGAAAAACACAAAATTTTGCGAATATTTTGTGTGGTAGTGGCATGGTTATGTACGTATGTATTTACAAGTATCGGATGTTTTCTCCGTCACTTTCGTTGGGGAATGAGAGTTATTATTGTTCATTGAAGTGATTATTTACAACACCAGAGTGTAATGCCTGTTGCAACTGGCTTAGTATCGTTCCTTTAACACACACACAACTTGAAGTGAACATGATTCCAGACATGCATTATATATATACATTTCTACTATAATTAAGGACACAAAGAAGGATTAGAGTTATAGTTATAAGATTTTTTTATTTTTTCTTTTGCTTTCAAACACATCATGGATCCTAGAATACTGCGTATTCTCAAAATATTTTATCTTCAAAAATCTGTTGTTCTTTCCATGATTTGTAACTAGGCAAAACTTGGCCTAAAGTCCAATGCTCGCGAATATTGATAATTTTCTCCTTGCTGAGCTGATTGATGATGATGTAATCTCATGATCAAATCGGATAATCATAGAGAAAATACTTATTAAGATACAGACGCTGACAACTTTTTAAGTTATTTAATTTGAGAATATTTTTGAAAGCCTAAGTCATAGTGGTATATTTCAAGTCAGGATAAAAATAATAATAATATTTATAACTTCGGACTTTTTTTTTTACTATAAATAGAATATTCTAAAAGTTATAAGCAAATATTGATTAAGAAAAGCTTTTTAATATCAAATTAAACTCGCATATGCAGTATTGATTGCCCAAAGGGCTCAGTTTAACAATATTTTAATAATGGATTTCAGCACTTTGATACAGTCACAAGTCTCTAAATTTGAGATTCTAAATTAGAGATAATTTTTTTGACTTGAGACGACTTTGCAATTCAGTACGTGACTGTCACAAAAAATTTTCAATTTCTTTCAGTTGAAAACGAACAGATTTAATCAGCTGTTACATTTCGTTATTTAGAGATAACAAATATAAAATTTTCTATAATGCAGTCAAACACCGTAATTAATCGCAATTTGAAATTTGTTTCAACTTTTACGTGTGTGGTTGCTTACAATATATTAAAAAAACCGACAATAGATAATGCCTATGATGTTCTTCATAAGCGAATTGTCAGTATATTTGAAATGAAGGACAAAAGTGCTTATTAGTTTAGTATTTAGATCTGCTTACTATCAGCGGACAAATTTTAGACAATATTTTGTGATTAGATACTGTATTGTGGATAGTCACTTGTCACAAATTGAGAACTTCAAAATGTTTCAACTAGTGACTAGAGACTGCTTACCGAATTGTGTTATGAGGATTACTTGAGTTATTTAAAAAATGGAAATTCTTAAAAGATTTTACGACACTTACGAATTGTTGATGTATTCTAAAAATTATTTTTTTAAAGCTAGAAGCAAGTGAATATCTTTTTCATGATAGACTATCATTACAAAAAATATCTATGTACATAAGAATATATGATTCAGATTTCTCCGCAACCGCAATTTGAAGCCATGATTTATTGTTATTGTGTTCATGTAAAATCCGACGGGATTCATTGAAAAAAAATTTTAAACTTTAGTTTTTCATTACATTCATAATAAAAATAAAAAACTTGTATATATCGCCAGACCAACTTTTGGCATCGTAAACAATCAGCTGCTAAACATACAGTAATTGATATATGGAGATCAAACACGATTATAAAAAAAAAAGTTGGGTCTCCAAATTAGAAGACAAAAAAAAAATTATTGATTCGGTTTACGCAGTTTATATGGGCCAGTCCGGTCAAATTTGATCTTGAGTTATTCAAAAAGGTGGTTAATATCATTTCGGGACCCTTTGTCGATTCTGGATAGATAAGAGCTTAACCTGCTACATTATACAGAACAAAGTTGCGGTACTTGCTTCTTTTTAAAATATATTCACTTTTTACTCAATCAATCTTAAACAAATTCTATTAATATAATAAGATATCTTTATAATCTGAACAGGGTATATTAAGTTTGTTACAAACTATGAGCTAACTATGAGTTAATTTTAAGAAATGTGAGTCTGCCTGTATATACTCTTATACGAACTAGTCACTCAGTTTTTGAGATATCGAGCTGAAAAAACTGCTCATTTGTCGGAACCGACCGATATCGGACCACTTTAAGATATAGCTGCCATACAAACTGATCAATCAAAAACCAGTTCTTGCACGGAAAACTTTTTGTTTTCTAAGGAATCTTATTGAAATTTAGCATATATATAATATTCATTCAGATTGGACCACTATAGCATATATATAGTTGCCATACAAACTGACCGATCAAAATCAAGTCTTTGTATGGTAAACACATTAATTCTGATAAAGATTCAAATTTATATGGCATATGGCTACACTGTCTTTTCGTTAAGTGCAAACAATTTTGCGAAGAGGAACCTATAATCCGTTAACTTTTCAATTTTTGGGATAAGTTTAACAAATTGAGGAAGTAAATTATTACTTATTATTTCAAAGATATTTATATTTAATTTCATTTTCTTTTAAATTGCTAAATGTAATTTGTGAGCCAATGCACTAAGTTTGCAAGCAATAAATTCCACAAACACGGAGCCCACACGCAGCAAACACAAATGTCTTCACTGACTCAGCCACAGCAGCGACGCCGACGTCGACAGCAGCCAGCGTCAATAAAAGGCAATCAAGGCAGATACACGTAGGAAGCGGTTATGCTGTCACGCTCTAACCCAGGCGAAATGAACAGTTAAAAACAGCTATTGGAAACGGATGTGATTTCCATGTTTGAAAGCGGTGGCGGGCGGCAATGCCAACGCAAACAAGGCAGGAAAGAGCAATGTTGCATTCGAGTGATATGCGTATAAACGTTGTTTCTGTTTCTGTTTTTGTAGTTTTGCTTTTGTTTTTTTTTGGTTATAGCAAAGTGAATGCACATGTTTTGTATACAAATGAAGGCAGTAAGCAGCAGAATTAGAATAGAAAACCGTTCAAAAGCGAATGAGCGAATAAAAGTGTGGTTGAAGCGTGGAAAGAAGTTAATGATATGGAGAAGAAGTAGCAACAGAAAAAGAAGTAAATCCAATCCACTTGGAAGTATAGTATAAGATAATGTGGCAAATGCTCCACTCCGAGAGAGTGATAGCGTGAGAGCGCCAGGTAAATTTGGAAGGTAACTCAATGGAAGTACAAGAGAGCAGAATGAAGTAAAAATGAGCAACTGAAGTTATTAAAGAGCATATTTGTAGCTGAAGAAGAGGCTGTAAAAGAAGCGTGAAAAAAGCGAAGGCGTAAGCGGGGTGTTTATTTGGTATTTTGATTGTTGAGCAAAAAGTAGAGTGCCTGCTGGAGTTTTAAGGGCGACGAAGTTGTTGACAAAAGACACAAACGAAAATAAGAACAGAAATTACTGACATCGTGACAGTGTGTTTATGGCATAGAATGTTGAAGAAGTGATATAAAAACAGCAAAGGTCTAAGCTATATATATAAGGAGAAGAGTAGAAGAGAAAATAAAGAACTTGAAAAAAACGAAAAGAAAACATGAAAAGGAAAATTGTAGAGAGCGAGTTAATGTATGGGCCGGATCAACTCGCAAAGCTAAGAATACACTCATAATTATAGTAAGAGCAGCGTGAAAAAACACGCTAGACAGTTACAACAGACACAAAACTAGCATAGGTAATACAGAAAAAAAATAAAAAAAAAACAAACGCTCGCCTAGGTACAACAAAAACTAATGACAACAGAGGTGAGGCCTCAGTGTTTATGACGGTGGTAATGGCATGCGTGTGCGCCGGTTACGACGTCAAATGCGCCAGCGACGCATAAACAGCACCCGTGACCGCGCCGCATGTGCATCGGCCACAATGCCGCATATGGCAAATCAAGGAGGGTAGAGCAACGCAACGCAATGTGTCAGTATACGGCACAATGCGCTGTTGCCATATTTCAATTTTTGTGGCTTGTCATCTGCGGTATCAACGTCGGCGTATCCGCTGTATCTGCTGCCTGCGCTGTCTATTGCTCGCTGGCTGCTTGTTTATTTGTTTGTTGTTGTAGTTGTTTGGGTATTTTTCTTCATGTTTGTACTATGCGTACATTTTAGTTGATGGGTTTTTCTGTGTGTGTGTTCGCTTAATTTTGTGTGACTCTGTTTGCCGTCTGCCTTTGGTTGGTTGTTGTTGCGCGGCGTTTTGGAATTTTCTGTTTTTGTTTATATTTCGCAGCATGTTTTTTTCTTTCATTTCATTTTATTTCTGTATTTGTTTACTGCAGTTGCGGGTACGCGCGCATTTTGACTTTTCGCTTCGTGGGCAAAAATAAAAACCAAATTAATAAATCCTTTAGTTTGTGTTGCACTGTGCATTTGTGTATTTGTATGTATATATTTCGATATAAATAATTAAAATTTTTCCCAAATAATTTTTGGTTTGATATTGCACAGTTGCTATTAAGTAATGAGTCAAATTCGCTACTTTGGTTTTTTTAATAATATCTACATATGTATATGTGTGTGTAGTATGGATCTACTTATGTACATTAGCGGGGCTAAAAAAAAAAAAAGTTTCTTTTTTCGCGCCGTACTCTGATAAATTGGTTGATAGACACCTCTAAGAAGGCCTCTCCAAGTATGAGCTCTTAATTGTAACAGGAAGCTCCTCCGCCTAACGGTTTTCTATTTTTAAGCTATTGCATAGCTTCTATAGCGGGAGGGGGCACTGCATCAAGAAATTCCGTAACGGAAATAAACCGAACACGATCACTAATATTTATAATATTTAAGATATAATTTTTTGAATTGCAAATAAAAATATGAAATTTAATAAAACTTAAATTAATAAAAATAAATTATGCAATATTCCGCGTCATAATGTTAGCAACATTATTATTAATTTGTACTTATCTTGGCTGGCGATTTCAAAAAAAAAATTTCAAAATCATAACCTGATCAGAATTCAAATCTATTCCGGTAGTATAGAACCGATTGTTGGGGAAGCGCGCAAAAACCGCACGTTGGGTGGTTATTTCAAAAGTCGCGGAGAAACAAATTCCGAATTCGTAGAAACAAGTTCTGCTACTAAATTTTCGACACGAAAAGACATCCTTTAACAATTAATCAGCCTTCAAAGATGATCTGAAACTCTGAGGCGCTTGACATATTCTATAAAATTGTATTGAATAGGAAGAAGAGAAGAAGAAGAAGAAGCAGAAAATACAGAAAATACAGAAAATACATCACTTATTTAGACACGCTCGATAATTCTGTTTGTATGTACAATATATTTCACCTAACCGATTTATTTATGCATACATTTTCAATCTATTTGCGACTGCTGTCAACATTTTAATTGCTTCTCAGTGTATTTAATGACTTTTTCACATGCCACACATGTTTTTAAACGCGTGTGGCACGCTCTCACTCTTTTATCCAAAGTCAGGTTTACATACCGCACGTGTGTGTGTGTATGTGGCATGTGCGTGTGTACATTAAAATGCGATTCTCTGAATGTGAATGTCAA